CCGTGGAAACGAACACTATTGACTTTTGACAATTAATGTGAAAAACTGGAAGTGCCATTCAGATCTCCCAAATAAGCAAGCCTGTATGTACAGTGAGCTGGCAGCCTGTCTGTGTTTCATCCCTGAGCTGTAAATACAGATGGAAGAATCAGGTGCGAAATGGGGAATCAGTACAGTGCTCCATTTCGTCAAGTAAAAAGGAACATTTTGATACCGGAGGAATTAACATGTTCCTTTTTAAATCAATAACCTTCTTTTGATTTAACACCCCAACTTATGAAGAACCATAAAACAATCCTAAACTTCAACAGAGGGAAAAAAAACAAATCGTGAAATTGACCAAAAAAGGAGATTTTTTTCCCACGAAGGAGAACTTACGTTCATTATCAGTGAATTCATTGAGCTTTTCAGTACTTTTGACAAACGGGAATTTACGTGAAAACGACAGCTGTGAACGTGAACCACGTCGTCCATCCATACCACGTGGCAAACTTTGGCTGCCCGCGTTGAAGTTTACCTGTTACGAAAAATATTACATTGGATATATATCAAAGTATAAATAAATTTTAGCTACAGTGGTAGTGAAGAGTTGCCTCCTATACTCGCAAGAAGTCGATCAGGGCCACGGCAAGTGTTACCAAACCGCCAACCATCGGCAATTTATAATTTGGCCAATCAGAAAAGTTGGGGTCGGCTAAAGTCTGTGGGAGGAGGGGAAGATTGGAGGAGAGGGCAGAAGTATGAGGATGAGAAGGCAGCAAGGTTAGAATGTAAAAAATATCAATCTAACCTGCTTTCGCCTCTGTCGTTCCTTTTTTTCAACGCGTTTCTTTGACGGGATAACACCTTCCAGGCCTTCTTCACCATTTTCGGTTACCACACGTGCAGTCCACCAGTCATCGTCAGCTGTGTTCGTAACGTGCAGAATATCGCCGTAGTAGAAAGAGAGAGCACGATGCGGGACGCCTGCTTCACGTGATGGATCGTAGTCAAACATCGATCTGATCGTAGTCAAATAACGGTAAATTAATCGTATTTTTTTTTTAAGATAACTAAAAAAAAAGGTTTTGAGCAATTACTCAAATCCAGAATTTCCCTAACTTACATCCATCAGTCCTATAAAAACACAGTTCACGCGAAATTAGTCTTCCTGCCCGTTCGTTGCCGTCTACAACAATTCCCGGTAGCCTTTACCTAGCTTCACCAACCAACCAGTCACCGTTACCGTAGCTGTAGCAGTCCATAAAACCACACTACAGCCACGCCAATGCAGCCTGCGAAGAAATCGGTAAATTTTGGTTGTTCAGAAACCAAAAATAAGCAAATGTCCTCTTTTGGGGCCTGCAGCACTGTATCTCGGGATGGATTTCCACTGGAACAGCTTGGATTCAATTCCGTTGTCAGTGAACCAGAGCTAAGTTCAGTAAAAAGACACAACCGCACATTTTATGTCCCATAATCATAGCCCTTTCTCTTCTTCCCTTGCGTCTTTCTCTTTTCCTTTTTATTAAACACTGCGACCGTCATACTGACGAGGTCCTTTTGCAGCGTTGAATCAAGACGTATATGACTTAATGGATCGAAGCGTCTTATCTCATTCTTGCCTCCTTTCCTCATACTGTTTCTGCTTTCTGTATCCAATGCGTCTTCGATACTTCGGTATCCAAGGTCAACCTGGGTGCTACAATCGGCTTATGTGAAGAAAAAAGCCGCTTAACCCAAGAGAATAAATGGTACCTGATAAAAAGTTCTTTACGTGGTGCACCATATGTTACCAAACCGCCACTCATCATGTCTCGACGAAGTTGCTCAATTTTAGCTTCGAACTGCGCATATTCTGAAAAATTATTTACACCATGACGCCCATTTTTCAGTAAATTTAAGGAAAAACAAACAAAAGAAACTGTGAACGTGAGATATAAAGCTCCAAAAGAAACTTAGAGTAACTTTCAGGAAATAAGCAGGAAAAACCGATAAAACACAGGATGCAGAAAGACACCCATGCTCTATTATAACAATAATTGGCCAACGCACGGGCTGCCCGTGCGAAGATGTGTTTTTTGCATAGCTCCCTGCAAATTTTTGTCGCTAACGACACTGATTTTCAGGTAGATGCTTCTAGCTAAAAGAATTTTAGACTGGTCCTTCAAAATTCCAGTCTTCTAGCTTCTCACGTCCTCGAGTTAGCAACTTACCCGGAAGAAACTTTCACGGGCCCGTTCCCAGGTACCACGCTTACCCGCGGGCAGAGTTTGAACTCGTTAATACCCACTTGGACAGAGAGCATCCCCCCAAGATTTCAGCGTTCTAGCTTCTCAGATCTCCGAATTATGAACTTACCCGAAAAAAATTTTAGCGGGCCCGTAAGCGGATACCACGCGGGTGATAGCGCCCATTTTGGGGACTGGAGCCGGCACGTGCATGTAGATTAAGTTCCCGAAATTTCAGCCTTGCAGCTTTTATAGGTCTAGAGATAAAACTGCGTGACAGATGCACACACAGACGCACAGACAACCCCTCGTCAATATGGGTTTTTGCATTGCATAGCTGCAAAAAACGCATAAATACGGGATTGTCAGTGAAATGGAAGGAATCACTGGAGCATTTCTGTGGGATTATCTAGATGCGAAGAGCTCGGGACAGTGCAAAATGGAGGAGTTACCCAGTCGTACCAACAGTCACAAAGGACAAAACGATGGAAAAGCAGTTATTCCAAGTGCCAAAATAAGCCAAAATCGAAAATTAAAATTTCTCCCATACCCACCAGGAGGCCCAGATGTACTCAGAAGTATCCAAAGTGGCTGTACGAGCCGAAACCAATCAACATAAGTAAAATAACAAAATCGCATACCTTGCGGTCGATGTTGCAAAATTAACGTTACAGGATTCGCTGCTTCTTTGAGTGCACGTGCTGCTTCAGCATGTGTTGCATTCCGGAGATTAACCCCATTCACTTGCAACAGCACATCGCCCTGGAGGGAAAAAAAAACGCTACCCAGGAAGCAGTAGAATGGAAGGATTGTTCTTAAGTGTCATGTGCCGAAGGACATTTTACGATGTAGTTAAATTTTACGATGAAAATTGATTATTCTATGAGACTGAACTGAAAAATTATTGTCACAATAGCTTGGGCAGCGAAGATAAAAATGAAAATCTCACGCACTTTTCTAACATTTCCAGAAAGATCTGCAACTCCACCAGGTAGAACGTAACTGATATAAATCGGTTCACCATCTTCACCGCCAACAATGTTAAATCCCAGGCCTTGCATGCCACGATTGAGCGGTATGGTACGTGGACCCAACGGCAATTCTTGCGGTGCTACTACATGGAATGACTGCTGCGCTTCGTATGAGTCATGATGCAGAGAGCCTGCTAAAATACTTCGAGCAAATACAAGCGGAAATGTTGAAAAGGAAAAAAGAAAAACTAAAAGTTTCTGAAAATCTCTGTGCAATTCAAATAGTGATGACAAGAACCTCTCTTGAAATTCAAACAAATAAAATTAAAAAAGTAATTTTCCATCCCCCCTCCCAACACAATTCAGCCTCTAGAAGAGGGAGTGGAATTTGGATGTGATCGCTGGTAGCACGTGCTAGTAGTGACCACTCGTTGGAAAGGCTGTTTTTATCAAGATTTTCTCATATGCTAACTGGCAGCGGTCATCAGCGACTGAAGCGGCAATGCAAGATCACTTGTTGTCTCCCCTCCCATTTCTCATAAAAATTGAAATACAGAGGTCCTGATTTTTGATATGGCCAGCTTATCTCCTTCCCTACACTCCCGTAAAACAATTCTGTTGGACAGATCGAAAATAATAAAATAACTTCACTAAAATTAAAAGATGCAAAAAAAAAAAAATTCGAAAAATTATCTGAATTTCCAGCCATCTCAATTTTTGAAGTAAAATCTAAAGGGCAAAAAAAACCGATTTATAACAATTCAAAACGCTGTCAAAATACATCGCTGCCGCTCGAAATAAACTGTTTGAGATCATAAACTGGCCGTGAAAACGGTGAGAGTGAGTATCATAGGAGGATTCAAAGCGGATTCCGGGGGAAGGTGATTTTTTTTCCCCACCCTCTTTCTCCCACTTGGTCACTGCATCGGCAACCTCTCTATTCCCTCCCCCCCCCCACCCCCCCACCCCGCTCTCGCTGGTGGACACTAAACTGAGAGTTGCAGGGTTCCTTGGGACGGGGGGAGGGGGGCGACAGGGGGTGCTGAATAGACTTTTGTATAGTAAAACAACTGCTATCTGAGGCGAAAGGCCTCTCGACCTCCCCCTCCCCTGTATCCGCCAGTGGTGAATATTTGCATAAAGAAATTCCAGCGCGTCCGAAAAAGGGGATCACAACGTAAATTCGATGATGAGAAGCTTAGGTAGGGGGCATTCTGTGGACAAACCTGATCGCACAGGTGTTGATGGAGCTCCAAATGAACGACTAGCACTGTCATCGAACGTCGAAACG